GGCGCTGAAATCAGCTACGAAAATTATACATTGAGTGTACTGTCTATAAACAATATATAAAAGGTCTGTGATTCAGTTGTGGTTTTGCCACAGCTTATACAATACAGCTAAAACACTCTCTTGGCGGCAACGGTTTGCGTCGATTTCGTCGCGCATCGCTTAAGCTCCGCCTTCGGAGGGAAAAGATGGTTTTGGCGTTCAGAAGCGTACTTAGGTAAGGTGTTGAGTCGTGCGTATAATTTCGTTGATTGTATAATTTCGTGGAGCCTATAATTTCGTTGATTTTGTTTGAGTTAAAGGTACTATTATTATTTTGGTGACTCTTTAGCTGTGAGTAGAATGAGGGAAAAAAAAAGACATCATTCTGTTTGTGCAGTCAAAAGCTGTTTTAATAAGGGTTATACCTGCAAGAAAACATTCTTTAGTTTTCCCAAGGACCCAAACCGATAAGTAACACATTATAAGAAATTTTCATTGTTAAAAATATAATTTATACAGGGTGTCCCATTAGTGCGTTATTGTTCATTATTTTGTTGTAGACACGCAAAAAAGTTTTAAATAAAAGTTATATGGATTTGAAAAATACCTACATATTTTAAAAATATCTTTGGATATACAGGGTGTCACGTTTTTGCCTGGCAAATTAAAATGTATGTTTTTTAAATGGAACACCTTGTGTTTTATTTTATGATGAAATTATTAACACCCTAAATTATTGTAAAGACGAGTTGCTACAGAAAAAATTTAACAGGTATGTGTGTGGTTACCTTTTAATAAAAGCCTTGCGGATCCACTCCTGTGATACCTGTCTTAAATATAACAAAGATCACGTTGAATTAGATGATTTTTCTTTTTATTGCTTTTTAAAGGCATATGATAACGCCAATTCAGATACATTTGGAAATCTGCAACTGTCAAATGATGAATTTGTAGAACTAATATTCAATATTGAAAAGATATTTCAAAATAATTTTGAAGAATTGGCTACAAAAAATAACATTTGTACCACACTTTTAGAATTAATTAACCCAATACCCTTTAGTCATCCATGCTAACGTTTTCCAAAAGAATAACCTATTTTAATTTATGTTTAATCTCAATAACTAAAAAATATACTGACAATTAGTTTGACAGAATTGTCATTTATTTAAAATTTTAAAAATAATAGCAGTCGGTTGATCAAAATATGAACGGTGATTGGAGAATTTTTTTTTGCAGTGTTCTCACTACCTAGAATGGATATGAAATATATTTGTTCAATTGAAGGCAATAGCATACATTTTCGTTTTGTAATCTGTGCATGGATATTAGCCAATCTATGCACATGCTACAAAACGAAAAAGTATGTTATTGCGTTCAACTACGAATATATTTCATATCCATTTTTAGGTAGTGAGAACACTTTATCAAAATTAAATCTACATATCACGTTCATATTTTGGTCACCCAACTCCTATTATTTAAAATTTTTTAAATAAGTGACAATTCTGTTAAACTAATTGTCAATATATATTTTAGTTATTAATATTAAATATACAGTAAAATTTTTGTGTAGACTCGATAAATAATAGCATTTTTGTTTTTATTGTGTCCACATTTAAAAAAAATTTCTAGGTTATAATTATAATAATTATGGAATACTACTACAAATTTTATTAAAAATTACTACAATTTGTATGAATTTTTACTATTTATTGTGTAAAATTTTCGTATTTATTTTCATAAAACGCAATACATTTTTAATATAAATTCATACAATGAATAGCAAAAATTATAACAATTTGTAGAACAACTCTTATGATGCATTTGGATCTTCTTTTAACTAAATATTGTAGATAATAACTTTACAATACATTCTCCACAAATATTTGGAAATTTTTACTACAAATTGTCCCTGTCCTTATATGTACTATTTCTTGTAGAGAAAAAATCTACAATTGTAGAAATTTGTTCTACAATTTTTTTTCCGTGTATATCTTCTACAATTATTATGGCATAAGAAATTCTACAAACAAATATTTTCAAGTTGGTAACTAAAAATTCAACTGTATTAGTTAATCAAATTGTGATGAACTAAAATTGTAAATATTTAAAACTGTTTAGTGAAGATAAGAAAATTATTATATCTAAATGGAATCAACCACTATGTATTTACTTCAGTGAAAATAGTAAATTAAAAACACTTCTTTTTCTACTACCTATGACTCGTTAGTTATTTCTACAAAAGAACCCAATTCTTCTAACACCAGCGACATATGCTACAGAACATTTTTACCAAAGAAATATTCGGAAGTAACACCGGTATTTTTTCATGTATATTCTAAATAAATCTTATTAATATAAAAACCCCACATTTCAATGAACTCTTTTTTGCTTTCATAAATTAATTGTTATAGCAGAAAAGTTACCTAAATATATTTTTTCTATCTAAATCCCAGAAGTCTTAAGAAATACAAATTGCTCCTTTTCAGATTTATTTGTATTTCGTCTTGTTATAAAGGTTTATTGGATATTTCTCTAGAAAAATACTCGGTAATCTCTTAAGATTAATAGAATCCGACGACACCAACTGAACAAGCTTAAATTTTATATATCATTCACTCGAATCGCTTCTCTCTTCCCAGAGCCTTCCAGCTATTCTCTTTGCTGCGTCTCTATTCAGACCTTACAAAAGGAAAGATTTATTAAAATCCCGTGGGGGAGCCAAACAGTGCGTAAAAGATGTATTACTACATATGTAGCGATCAGGTTGTTTTGATAAAAGACGCATTTATTGGTTTGCTTGGACAGTTACAATCGTTTAGGAATAAATAATATTTAAAATTTCACATTTTAAGCATTTTTTGTTTTCTAATTATTATCTAATTAGCTATCTTGTTTTAACCAAGTAAGAAACGGTATCATCAGAAGCTACATAGCTGATGATATTTTCATAGACGAAACGTAGTAAAATGGTAAAGTGTAACATATCGTTGTTATAAAAGCTATAAAAAATTACAGTTAAAAATCCAGGTCCGTATTTAAAAACATAAGTTGAAGGTGGCTTTGGAAATACGAAACGTCGTAATAAAAATTTTGACATGGCAGATTATAGATTGATTTATAACAAAAACTTCGTATAATTTTTTTTTGTATCTTTTATAATAACGCACGACTTAAAAAACGAAAATGAGGTTTTTCGGATTTTATCGAATATTTCCGGAACCAGTCAGAAAATCTGGAACTTCTATGGACCATTGTATTATCCGTCAAAATACGAAACTTTTTCCCCATTTAACCGACAATGTATATCTTACGGTTTACGAGATCTCTGTATACGCAAATTAAATCCAGTCCACCTTGTATATAATATCGTTTTATTTTCGCCCATCTCTACTATCTCATCTCTTACGGTGTCACGATTGGGAGTTCTGACAACCGCTGATGTTTTGATTGTAAAAAATAATTTAATCGAATCATCTAGTATTAGGAACTTAGTTTTTTTTTATTCTTAAAAGCCGTCCAATATATTATGGTAAGCTTTAATATTTTGCATTCAATGCTTACGACTGAGTTAAAATTAAGTAGAGACAACATAAACAATGTACACGTATTTCAAATAAAATTATTCATCTAGAATTTCAGATAATAATTTTTGAATACCATTCAACAAACTATATAGAATTCAAACTGTCTCCCTTGCGACCCTAGATGTCATGTATTGCAACTGCAACACTAGAAGTTAAGTTTATCCTCAACGGAATTAATTTCTGTTTCACGTGAGACTGAACTTCCCCAATAAAGTGGTCGGTAACTTTATTAATCGCTTTTATATATATGTTGGGTGTGTGGGTCCGTGTTATGCAGTTCAAATATAAAGACATTATTTCTAGGAACCACCTACATCAAATAGGAAATTGAGCAGTTTAATTAAATGGTTAATTAAATATAATTTCAGTTTATTAATAAATTGGATGTCAAGTAACTAGATTCTCGTAATTCAGTTATGCTAAATAATGGAAAATTTACTAATTTTAATAAGACATAAATTTAATATTGAAATTATATTAGTTAAATAATATATTACGATTGGTTTTTTAAAAATAAAGGCTTGAAAACAGCTTAATTCAATGTTCCGTTTTCCTTTCTATAAAACAGACACTAAAGGACACTAAAAATTGGCTCTTACGAAACTGCATCCCAAAATAGGATTTCCTACTTCATTCGAAAAAGGTCACCACGAAGTTGCATGCCCCATAAGGTAAGGGTCACTTATTGTAGGCTAAGCCAATTTAAGATAATTTTTAAGGCAACTGCAGTAAAAAAAGGGGGACAATATTCAAATGTACCATTAACATACCAACAAGAAACAAATGGCAGACAATATTATTTTTTTGTCATTTTTAAGCAAGAAGTTTCCTATCTGAAATAGCAGACGACTCAATTGCCATATGGAATTTGGAAATATTTTTAGGAAGAAGAAGAGAAGATTTAGCATTGATCAAAATGAATTTCTCTTTCTTTTTCTTCTTTTCCACACCCACCTTAGTATTTCTCCCTATTTCCCAAAAACCCTTTTACATTAGTTACTTTCTTCTCCCAATTTTTTACTTAGAGAGCGAACAACTTTTTTGGAGCTTTGAAATTTTTAATATTACAATCAAAAATAAATTTTATAATAATGGTTTTCACCTACCACACTCTAAAATTAACATTTTCTGGATATTGAAAGAAGGAAACAATTTATTTATGTAAACTGCTATCTACTTTTTAAATAAAGATGATGCCCTCAATGACCAAAATGCTTCTTACATATCTTAATATAATAAAAGTTTGTGGTAAATGACTACAAATTTTAACAATTATTTCACTGTCGGTTTTTCAGAAAACCTTTAATTTTATAGGTCAAAAACAAAACCCATTGACAGCAGTAAATAAACAAACAATGCCAAGACAGACCACCTCACGTACAATTCAGTCTTCTTCGGAATACAAATGGATTTAAAAAATGATTATATAAATTCCGATTTAACTTACTCACGATTTAGTTTGTTTTTGGGGTCTTCACGATGAAGGTAAGAGTGATTTTAATTATAATATTATAGGCTTTTTTTATAATAAAATTTGTTATCATATCCCAAGTTTGAAAGTGCATATTGCCGTTTATTTAAAGGAAGAAATTTGGATTGAGGACTAATAAATGATTTTAAAGGATTTTATGAAACGTATATGTAGAGAGTACAGTTTAATGATTGAATTCGATTATGGGTGTTCAAGTAGAAAAACAATTTTATTATTTTTACTATAACTTTTGATTTTGATTAATTTTTGAAAGTTTAAAAATAATATTTAAGGAGAGTTCAAATAGAATATTTTCGTTAATAGCATTATGAAATAAAAGTTTTAAGAAGCTAACGGCTATCTCTATTTTTTCCAGTATGTCATATATAATTTGAAAACTAATAGAAAATTGTAAGAGTATTCTTCTCAATGCAAACTAGTAAAATGTTTCTATTTTTTTATATTGATTATGAGCTAATAAAAAGTTTTCAATTTAATTTTATAATAAAATAACTTTGTGCTTGATTAAAGTTTTAATTTTATTTTGATTGATGTTAACATGTTAAGACTTCGTGTTATTGTTTTGCATCGTTTTAGTCTTAATTACCTGTCAATAATTTTATTGCTGAAAGGAATCCATGAAAAAGGGATCCTCTTTGATCTAGACTTTCAAAAAGGATTTAATTACTTTAATTAAAGGGTTATTTAATTTTCGATAATTTGAATCATGTGATGTGAATTTTGAAATTCTTAGAAACTAGAACTTTTGGGATTTATAAAGAGAGAAATGTTTAATTTGTTGGTGGTGGGTTTGCATTTACTTATCAAAAAATATTGTAAATAAATTAAAGATTTTGAACTGCCTGTGTCAATTAAGAATTTTGCATTAATTTCTGAAATTTCCATATACGGTAGGAGTGTGGGATCTGTACATAAGTCATTATTATGAGAAAATGTAGAGTTATCATTTACTATATTACTATAGGAGTATTGGATTGCAGAATAATCAGAATTAGGATCAATATCATTGTCTACTTGTGTGTGGTATAAAGTTTAATTATCATGATAGTCATATTGATTTTTAAATTGTTCAAATTGTTGGATATTTAGATAATTGAGAGTTGTATGAATTTTCAAATTGTTGATTTTAATAAGAGCAGTTAATGTGACGTTATATCTACACTTTTACTGCCATCCTCTCTTTTATTCATACTATATTGGTATATTTAAATAAAAAAAATTGCTTTATAAAATAAAATATATAGAGTATTTAGTAGTCTTTTTAAAAATATGTATACAAACAGTGAAAGGAATCAATTTTTAATAGTAATACCAAAGTTAGACCTTTAATATTTAATTTGGCTTTAATTTGGCTAAAAATGAGATTTTTAAATGTCATATATTTAGAAGTACGTCTATACATACGATTTTTATACACAGAGATACCCCGTACTTAAAAAGTTATAACTCCCTTACTAAACATTTTTAAATAAGGCGATTATCATCAAATAGATTCTATAATTTACAATTTTATTTTGTGAAATCTAATATTTTGATCAGTCCGACAAATAAGTCATTATTTTCTATCCATAAAAACAAAGACATTTACGATCCAACCATAGCTGGGAATGTATAACAACAATGTATTGCATCAACCTCTGACTCCATACTTCAAAATTTTATTTTAAGATTTTACGATGATCCATAACTTCGAGATGATACTCTGTTCCCTGTTGGTATCGAATATTTTGATTTACATTCACCAGACTACAAAGAAGTGTCACACTTTATCTAAAAATACCTGTCTACTTATTTTCTTAAAATATGGACGATTAGGATCTAAAAAAATATATTTCACTATAAAAAATAGGAAAGGAGTCAAAATTATTTTGATTTTGTGAATAATTTGGGTTACCTAACACAAAGTATAAAATATATATACAGAATGTCTCACAAAAAAGTTCCACTAAAGGTAAAGGCATCGAAATTAGTTGTTTTTGTATTAAATGTGGGAAATATTCTTTTGACTATGCATGACATTCTAATTTTTGGAATTCTTTTTTAAATTTTTTCGTTATTGAATTAGGATTTGGTTTTTGAGCCCAAATTTCAAATTTAATAAAAAATTAACTTTTACACAAAATGCGAAAATCTTCTTGGATTATATACAAAGTTTCAAGTTTCTCTCTCACATACACACACAACTAGAGTACATCACAATAAATGATAAATACTGGTAGTTTTTATTTGATATTTTATTATACACTATCAATTTTTTTCCCAAAACTGTTTACATTTGTTTTCTTTGTAAAGTATCTTCTAATAAATTATCTTACCAACCATGGAAATAATTGTATATTCCCCTTTTCTCTTTAAATCTTCCAGATCTCAAAGAACAGAATTCGTTTTCCTTTCTTTCAATTCTAAAGGCTCAGTCACCTTGGGAAAACGTAACAAAGGGATTTTATTAAGTCACATGCTGCGTTTATATAGAATTTAGAGTCTTGTAACGAGAAAGGACATTGCTTTGTTTCACAAGACGAATAAAATATTAAAAATGTTTTATAAATACAAAGGTTATGTTGAAATTTTTATGGGTAAATATAAAATTTGTTCAATGACAAATCTTGTATTCAACATCTATGTTTATTAAATTTTTAAAATAGATTTGAGCTTAGGAAATAAAAAAAACTCGCAAGAGTACAGTGAAGGACTTTTTTTGAATTTCTGCCACCGTTAACCTCTATTTTTAATCACATTTTTTTCATAATCCTCCTGTAGAGCTTGATTTGTTCTCTAAATTTCAAGATGTAATTTTTCGTATTTAAATTAGGATTTTTGTTTAATGTTTCAATCCCCCTTACACCCCCTATTTTTATTTAAATCTTTTCAAAATCAAAAGGCTTCGTCCCTTTATAGAACTTGATTTTGCTGAAATTTTCAAATTGATATCATTTTTCGGATGGACAAAGTAAACCTATAGTACTCTTCACAGTGATATTAGTGATATTAGTTGTTTATCTAACATTTATTTCTATCAGGATGAGTAACAAAGACAACTTTAAAAGAAAATTATCTCTTTTTCTATACATAAAGGTGAAATTCTATAGCAAATCGTTCGATTTCATGTTCAAACTCGTTTATAAAGAAAACAAGGCTTAAATTCCATTTTAATCCAGCTATTGCTTCCACCAACTATTTCCCGGTAAAATAGTTAACAAACTCTATTTACTTTCACTGAGAAAGTTTCTTGGAAGTAATGCGGGAGTTGTGAACTTGTTAAATTAGTTTGATTTCGTGATCACTATTACCAAAAACCATTCGTAGATACGATTGATTTTGAATTAATTTTAATTAACTATAAATATTCAATGAAAGATTCCTATTTTCGATGCATTTACGTTGATAACATTTTGAAAATGTGATATGAAGTTTACTGAAACTGAAAATACACCGTACATCTACTAATTTATAAAAATACCGGGACTCAAATAAGTTTTTTCCGATTAGAAATTTGTTTTTGTACGCCTATGATATCCATGATACATAACCCCTAAAAACAGTCTAGAAATTAAATCATGTATTATAACTCTTACACATATCGATTATTTCTTAGTACGCTTATCAAATGACACATTTATTTCGATAACAAAATAACGTATTGTATTACTACTGTTAAGAGCACTGTAAACTTGGCAACAATGTTCAATCAGAATATTGCATTTCTGTCAAAGACGTTTAGAATGTGAACTAAGCTGGGCTTCAAAAAATGTAAAAAACAATATTTTGGTCATGTTTCAAATAATATGGTCTCACCCATGTCCTGGAGAGGTCCTCTTAAAAAAAAAAAATATATTTTTCAAACGATCGACTAATTATGACGATTCAGGTCGTGGAATACCTTAGAATGTCATGAAAAGAAAGAAAATGTTCTCTAAAAGTTTGTGCGATTTTTCCTTTAGAAGTTAGACTTTCAATTTTTCGAGGCGAGATCTTGTTTCCGAAAATAAAATTATTTTCCACACGGTCGACTAATTATGACATTTCAAGTCGTGGAATACCTTAGAATGTCTTGAAAAGAAACAGAAAATGTCCTCTAAAAGTTTGTGCGATTTTTCCTTTAAAAGTTAGTCTTTCAATTTTTTGCGCATTTTTTTTGAGCACGTGCGCATGCAATTTTTTTTATTTTAACTCAAAAAATTCTGAAAAAATTCTCATAGCTAAATTTGGTTCTAAAAAAGCTGAAAATTACCACTAAATTTTTCTAGGATTTCTCAGTTTTCTCGAAGGGCCCCAAAATCGCTCGAAAGCCCACTTTCGGCCCCATATCTCGTTCCACGTGAGCCCTATCCATTTTTTATGACAATTTTCATCTTTTCCAGGCCAAAATACCTTATATTGAATTATTTTTATGGTGTCTATGGTCTGCCTTTTGGCTTTTTTGTTTTTGGGATGTACTCAGTATTCCATTATTTTTGTTGTATACCCCCTATACTAAACATTCCTCCTTTAGAATTAATAATTCGTTACAGGTTACAGAATAATTTAGAAGTATGATAGACTAGGAATATTAATTTCTTATATTATAACACTTTTATTTAATAAATTTAACTCAATATTTATTTTTCAGGTCTTGATATGCTTATTTCTTATTGTGGACTACATAGTTTGCGAGGTACCACCACCATACCCATCAAGAATAGCTGAACCTCCTCGAACAAGATACGGAGTTCCAAATAGCGAACAATTATCCCAACCCCAAGCTGTTTATGGACCTCCTAAAAATGCTGAACCATTAGATCCATTGTTTCGCCAACCACCAAATCCAGCAAAATTCCAGAACCCGATAAATAATATAAATCCTCAAAATACAGCATTTCAGAGACCTCCGCAAAGATATTTAGGTCCACCAAGGTCTAATGCAGTTGCTGTTCCCCAAACTATATACGGACCTCCTAAACCATCTCACTCCGTTCCTCAAATAACATATGGAGTTCCAAATAAACAGAACGAGAATAACTTTGCGGCATATCAACCAGAACCTTCAAGAAACTATGGTAATCCTAAACCAACTAGCTCGATTCCCCAAACAACTTATGGAGTTCCTGGTGAACAGATATCACCTCAGAATCAAAATAACTTTGCAGCATATCAACCTAATCGACAACCAGAACCCTCAAGAAACTATGGTACTCCTAAACCATCTAGCTCGATCCCTCAAACAACATATGGAGTTCCAGATAAGCAGATTGAATCTCAGAATCAAAATAACTTTGCAGCATATCAACCTAATGGACAACCACAACCCTCAAGAAACTATGGAACTCCTAAACCATCCAGCTCTATTCCTCAAATAACTTATGGAGCTCCTGGTGAACAGATAGCACCTCAGAATCAAAATAACTTTGCAGCATATCAACCTAATCGACAACCAGAACCCTCAAGAAACTATGGAACTCCTAATATTGATTCCGCAACTTTAGAAGAAATTAAACAATTAAGGCAACTTATACAGAAAATTGAATCACAAAGGACTGCTCAAATAATTGCTTCGCAAGCTTCTGTTGGTGATAATAGACATGGTCAAAGTTTGCCAAATAGAGAAGCAGGAAATTTTAGACAGCAATCTTCACCCGTAAGAGAACCAGATACTTTTAAAAAAGATATATCATTAGGGTTCAATCGTCAACAGGGTGCTAGGCAAAATGATGGAAGCAATTTTTACTTGCCTCGTGAAAACCAACCTGTTTTACCAACCAATTATATTCCAAGTCAAAATAATAATGAGTTTAATACCGGATCTCAGGTTCCTGCAAACAAGCCTAGTAGTCCAGCAAATTCATGGAATAATTTGGATTTACCGGGAACTAATTCCGATGTTGACGTTCAGCAAGTTGAAGTAACTCAATTTGGTCCCAATAGAAAGATAAATAAAAATAATGATTTTGGTACAACGTATAGACCTGAAAGCAATAATAATGAGGGTGAAATTAATAATAATTACATTCCTCCAACTACCACTGAAAATCCAACTATAAATTTTTCTTCAACTTCAACGCCTGGTAACATTTATGAAACTCCACAGGTATACTATTGATATTTTATATATATACAAATAATTTTTTTTAATTTTATTATAATTCTTGTTTAAATTTAATTTTGTCGTGCTACAGTTTTATATTATATAAAGTAAATATACCTCACAGATAAATATTAAAAGTCCTTAATTAACAATGGTAAAGGAGTGGTTATATGTCTACTGACCAGTTTTTCTTCACCATCTTTTAACAAAAAAAAAATATATGTTTTTAAAAATTATATTCCTACACGTGCCCTTCACCCTACACTGATCGGACTACAAAACTTGAAAATTACGGTAAATTGAAAAAAAAAACCAACAGAATTAAGATTTAAAATGGATGTCTCGACGTACCAATGGACGTCCAGTCAAATGGCATACTTTTGGCCATTCAAAGACGTCCAATTCTAGATCAGGTTTAAACATTGAATACTGGACATTTAAAAAACGTCCAGTCCACAAACGCTTATCCACCACATACTATTTTGTATTATTAATAATTTATTTAATATTTCTTTTTTTTTTTAAACCTGAGCAGGAATCGAACTCACTACACGTCCATTATCGGTCTACGCTTTCAACTACTACAGGATCTCGACCAAGAAGCCAGTTGGAAACTTTTTACTAGTTACTTGTTAATTTTTAATGACCTATTATATAAAAAAAGAAATTGTATATAGATGGTATTATTTGGTAGGCTAGAGAAATAATGACCTAAGATGGAAGCCCAAGGGACGTCAAAATACTACTAAACCTAAAATTAAGTCCAAAAAAAGATATCCTCTGGGTATCAATATGCAGTTGTCAAATTAATGATGATAAATGGACGTACACTGGATGTCTGAATATGAATATGGACGTTCTGGCCCTCAAATGGATCTACAGTGGACGTCCATTGGACTGTCTTGCATATTATACTCTTCACAGTTTAACACACCCCATCTTAACCCCCCTTTTCGATCAGATTTTTTTTCAGAATCAATAGGCATTATAAAACTTAATTCTTGATGATTTCAATTTTTTATTTCAGTTAGGATTTTTTTTCAATATTTCAACCCCTTTTTATCCCCCTAATTTTTAATTATATTTTTTTTTTCAGAATCAATAGATTTTTTCCCTTATAGAACTTGATTTTTACTAAAAATTTCATGTTGATACCGCTTTTGGTTTCTGATTCATATTTTTTTTTTATTTAAAGTCCCTTAACTCCCAATTTGATTAGAATTTTTAAAATCAATAGGCTCTGTTCTCTTATAGACCTTGTTTTTTGGTAAAAATTTTAAGTAACCAGATTTTTTTTACTAATTTAACCTTAACTATTTTTATTCAGATTTTTTTAGGATCAATAGTGTCACTAGTATAAGTACTTAAAGTTAAATTTGATCCTAAATTAGTAAACTAAAAAATATGAATAATCAACTATAAATAAAACAAATAATATGAAATATAAGCTATATCTTTGGTACCACAAATCAAAATTTCATATTATACTATTTCTAGCTCTATATTTTAAATTTTATCCTTAATTTTATCTTAAATGTCATCTTAAATTTTATCATAAAATTTGTCTTAAATTTTATCTTACATTTTATTATTAAGATAAAGTTAAAGATGATTTTTTATGAAAATAAATAATAATAATTCTTTAAACATATTTATTAATGAAAAATAATCTAAATGGTTCATATTACTTGATCCTTCAGGACTTGTTATTAAGGTAATTATTTTATTTCTGACACTAAAGAACGCAATTTCATTTACAGGATGGAAGTGGCGAATCCCCGAATATTGCAATCGCTACTGCAGTTGTAGGCGCACCAAATGACCAACAATATTATCTGCTACAACCAGATGGTCGATACCAAAGGATCATTTTGCCTAAACCTCGAGATCAAACTAACAAACAAATTGGTCTTCCTGCCAATTATCAGCTTTATCAAAACTTACAAGTTGATCCAAATGTATTATATACTCCATTATATACTGTTATAAATAAATGATTAAATAATTAATAAAATGTGATATTAGTTATAAATACTGGATGTTATTTAAATTCCTGGCAGACATTCATTAATAATGTACACTGAGAAAAATACAGCTCCATTGTAATAGTCAGATAACTTGGTTCATATGACATGTAGAGGCTTTTCATTTGTAGATTTCAATTGGGGAGGTTTTAATACATAATAACCACACCCGCAAATAACTTTTGTTCTATCTGAGAGGGTGCAATTCGGGGTGAAATTTAAAAAAATCATATACCCCACAAATGGCGTTGTACACCTTTCTGCTTGGGATATGTTATGTAGTTTGCTATTGTCTTCATCCCTGATACCATGTTGGAGTTTGTCGAGCCGTCTGAGGGGGTGCAATTGGAGTTGAAATTTAACAAAAAATCATAGAAGCCACAAATGGCATTGTACACCTTTCTGCTTGAGATATTTTATGTAGTTTGCTCTTTTCTTCATCTCTGATACAACGCAGCATTATGTTGGTTGATGATGGCCTTATAAAGGGCAAATAATTGTATTGGTATTGTATAAAGTTCTTTATACAATGGTATTGAATAAAAGCATGGAAAAAGTTAAAAGGCTTTTAACTGCCGCAGACCCAACCCCATTTAGTCCAGGATGGCTCCGTTCCGCATTCATAAATGGAGACATCGATGAAAATACTCAACGAGTGGACATGTACCTACTATGCAACCAAGTTTGGAATTGATGGTAGTATTATGCATTGTAATTTATTACTTGTACATGTTAATTTATGAATATACTTTTTAGAATAAATTTTAAGTGATGTGTAAAGCAATAAACATTTATAATAACATGAAATACTCTAATTTTGTACGTATATAATAATAGATATATTTTTTTGTGAAATGGTAACATTTTGAAAAAATCTGATAAAAGATAACTTTTTTACTTACTTGAATTGGCAAAAATTTTTAACAAAATATTTTTTTTTAACTTATATTAGGCGACTTTTTGAAAATTCATTATTCTAAGAACAATATAAAAACTTTTAACAAAAAAGAGATATACCTTTAATTAAACTATTATTTATTAAAACGATAACTTAAGGAAGAAATCCAAAAAATTTCTGAAAATATATTTGACTGTTTTCTACTAGAACAAGGACATCTTACAAAATAATTATCAAAAAAAGACAGCATAATTTTTTAAATGGAGTAGAAAAAAAGACTCACCTCATGAAAACCATGCTTCTTTCTTTTCATCCCCACTAATGGCAGGTCCATTTTTGTTTCCATTTTGCACACTATTCGATCTATATCCCGACATTTTCTTACACTCCGGACATCTTCTGTTCCCGGCGACGTCATTTCATTCTAACCTCAACAATCATTCATCATTCCCAATCTCTAATATAGCCCCTAGATACTCTACAATTTATTAAAATTCCAAAATCAAACACTATAGTGTTATATTACAGAAAAAAAACAAGAATTTTAAGTTTGTATCTGTGATTGATTCAAGAAAGTTTAATATTAATTATATGAGATATCACCGGGCTAAATTGCTGCAGCCTTGTCCATTTGAGCCAAGAATTTACATCAGAAATTAATTATTGTAGAGGTAACCTCTTAATAAATGATTTCAAAGGACATAAATAACGAGAATCAAATGTCTTTATTGTCAGAGAGAAAGGAAATGATCCCAAACAAAATCGTTGATGTACATATAAAAACATTAAGCTTTTGTAGTAAATCAACGAAGCCAAATTCTCAAAAAAAATAGCAAAAATTTAAAAATCAAAAATAGGATGTTGAAATTTAATTTCTATCTCAGCTGTCTTTCCTTCGGATATAATTCAATACCTGTTCCGGTATTAGCCAAAGTAGTAGTTTTTTGAAGAAAACGCTCGTCGATATTTATGTTATATTGGCTTTTAGATTTATTCATTTTATTTTACGTCTTGATCACATTTGAGTTTGATTTATTTACGTTTAAAAATTTAAAAGTTTCCTTTCAATAAATAATAATTTTAAAAATATTTAGTGTTTTATACATCTTTTTGAATTTTACAAAGTAATTTAGGTACTGTTTCTTTTACTTTTTTTATTTAATGAAAAATTTTTGAACACAAAATTGTTTTTTATTTAAAACAAAAAAATAAAAACCAATCTAAAGGTTTATCAAACTATTTAAAAATCGATTGAAACCCAAAAAATATGATTTTAGCTGAAGAGAAAACTAACTCTATATTTATTTATAATTCAAGAGAATAATTCATCAAAATCTGAAAAGATTACATGCATAATTTTAATGACTAAGAAAAAAACCTTACTTTTGTAAATTCTCTCTACTGAGAAACATTTTTTTTTAATAGATCCTAACAACAGTAGGTACTATGAAAAAACATAACTAGAATACCTACTTTTAATCTTTGATCAAAAATACTTATATATGTTTACGCCTCACCCTCGTATATAACGAGAAAAATTAATTTAACTTTTTTTTATTTAAATATAAATTAATAAGTAATTGATTCAAATTTTTTGATTACAATAATAAATTAGATTTATAGTTTTTTATTATAACTTTTCCTTGAATGAAATTCTTCCAAACTCATTAAATATTTAGGTATACCTATTTAAAATTTGCAATGCATTCATTCTCCTACCTTTACACGAAAAATATACGGTCCTATAAAACCGAAACACCACCTGAAAAAGAAAAAAAATACCTAATAATGCATTCTAGTCAAAAAGAATAAAAAAAGTCATCAATAAGAAAAAATATTTAGGTATTATATGAAGATTATTCTGTCTAGTCAATATTTTTTACTCTCACGGTTCTTTTACAAAATAAAACTTTTATTTCAGATATCCTTCACCCCAAGAATGTTTGTTTTTAGCTAATAAAACTGCTAAAATGTACCTATATCGCATCTCCGATAAAATAGTTATAACTTGAAAAAATCTGATGTGTCCAACACATGACTTTCCTATCTAGTTATTACAGGCTTTTTCCTGTTATTTTGTACAACCTATTGCAGCACCTCCATAAATGTTTAGAGGATAAAATAAATATATACATTTTCCACATACATCTACATCGAAACATTTTTTTATAGATATTCATTGAAAATGAAAATACTGAAAAATTTAAATTTAGCACTTTTCCTACAATTTTTCCATTACGGTGCATTTTAGAAAAATCATGTATAAACAAAAATTATAGAGATCGATATCGCAAACAACTTTTATTTCAACAATTTTCATAAAAATCAGAATTTTGCACATTTTGTCAAATTTCTCGAATACGGACCATTTTAGGAAAATTTTGTATAGAATAAAAATTTTAGATAATAATATAAGAAGTAACTTTTATTTAAAGAATTTTCTTCCCCAAACGTAAATAACAGATATATTCCATAAAATATAAAAATGACCACCTATAAAGTACCCCCCAGATGTTCCGACTTTGTCCAAAATCTAATCATTTTACGTCAGGCCGAAATAAAACTTTAGTTTAAAATTTAATATTTTTTTCTTTATCCGTTTTTGAGTTTTCTTCAAATTTCAAAATTTACACATTTTCTCAAATATCTCGAATACGGTCCATTTTAGAGAAATTATGTATAGAATAAAAATTATAGAGAATTATATTACAAACAACTTTTGTTTGAACAATTTTTATAAAAAGATATTTTTTTACATTTTGTCAAATTTCTCGAATACGGACCATTTTAGGAAAATTTTGTATAGAATAAAAATTTTAGATAATAATATAAGAAGTAACTTTTATTTGAAGAATTTTCTTCCCCAAATGTAAATAACAGATATATTCCATAAAATATAAAAATTACCACCTATAAAGTACCCCCCAGATGTTCCGACACTGCCCAAAATCTAATCAGCACATTGGACACTGGAACAAAGCTTAAGTTTGAAATTTAGTGTTTTTCTGTGTATCGGTTCATGAGTTATGCGACACACAGACACACACACACACACACACACACACACACACACACACACACACACAGACATCATCGCGAAAATAGTCAAAACGGATTCAGGGGACCTCAAAACGTAAAAATCCGTCGAAACCTCGAGGTCGAAAAAAATCATGATTCCTATACTTTCCTTATATCTGTATACAGATAGGAAAGTAAAAAGTAAATTACTAAATGTAAACACCGAAGAGAAAACTGGTCTTAGTACTAAACCGTGACATCTGCCATCTAGTGGCGAATATGTGGAGTTACAGATATGACTGTTTGGGATGATGTAACATTTAATTTTGAGCATTTGTATATATTTAACTTAAAATCCAAGTTTTTTAAGTTATAACTAACTATATTTGATCGGATGTACCTATAGGTGCTGTAGATAGGTAGGTACCTAGACTCTAGACATAACCTTGCTCAAATCTTAATTGAGGAATGCACTAAAAGTTTTTTAAATTTACATATTAATACCTACCTACACATTCTACAAAATAAATCGTAGTTAAAAGTAATTATTATAGATTATTCATTGATTGCATACATCATCTAAAATCATAGTATTCAAATCTACCTAAGTATGTAGGTATACGAGTATAGGAAGAATCACAGCACATCCCCAGATATTATAAAGTTGAATTATTGATAAAATTATATTAAATTGCATAAATATACTTACCAAATATAATTTTATTTTGAGATATTTCACATAAACACTAAAACACTCATCACTAATCACTTCTTGTACGGCATCTTTAAAATTTGAAAACAATTGAAAAAATAGACGCTACCACGGAGTCTTATGATTGGCCGAAATTTGTAACGTGACATCAGAGCCAACTAAGATAAAAAACGGTGTTCAAAAATTTCTGCGCGGTACTGGCAACGTTGCCGTATTTAGTGTAATTTATATATTCTGCTGATTTTTGGAAATTCTGATAATTAGATTACTTATAGGTGGATTGTTAAAATGAGGGTGCAGAATTAGTACAAAAACTGCGATAGGTCCTCAACTGGATTGAAAAGAGGTTAAATATGCATGAATTATTAATCATTGGAGATTTTTTGAACCTAAAATAGATAAAATATTTCTCCTAACCAAATTAGAGAATGTTTATTTAAAAATTTTGTTTACCTTTCGATATTTTTTGTTTATACTTGACAAAAAGTGTATGCAAATTAATTTTTTTTATTATTGTAGATTTTAGAAGATAATTTCTGGCTATTACTAGGAACGAAGAATGTAGAGAAATGAAACTAAATCTCGTGTGCATCTGGAAATAGCGGAAAAGTAAGTTTGTGTCAGCAGCAAATACTTAACCATTTGAGCATGCTCGGCCAACAAGAATAACAATATTTAACAAAATAATTATTAAAAAAAAAAAAGGTCGACACCTAATAACATTCACGGTAGGATTTTATAATATATATTAGTGCCGCGTTTGAGAATCCACATCGGATGCATCTGAGATGTAGTAAATCTTTGATCACGTGATTCAGTATACGCAAATGTAATGGTACAGATAGATATGTCCGATGTAGATAAAAAAATGCTCGAGATGTAAAAAATGCATTCGATGTGGATTCTCAAACGCGGCATAGATACATAAATCACAACGAACTACACAAAATTAGCAATTACTATTCAGAATGTAACCAGGCGCAGATTCTAGTCATAGTCAAGTATTTGTTTACTGTAGGTAATATCAGGATAATTTAAAAGCTCCTTGGCAACTATACAATTTCTTGTTTCATTCTATCTTTCCTCGAATTTCACAAGGGAATGTTCTTTAATTAGGTCTGTCTACGCATCGCGAAAGTTTCGGTAGTGAAAATAACACAATGTATCACCCGAGGAAGTGTTGCCTTGCAGGCCCAAGCGTAATATTAAAAAGCCTGCTTATTTATCAGATTTTGTTGAATAGCTTTGTTAAGTTAGGTTAGTTTAAACATATGTATTTTATTTTCTTACAAAAAAGGGGGAAATGTGCCATTAGGACTACTGGGTAAGCAACCCGTCTTACTCCGAGAGGTATAGGGGGTTGCCTCGACAGTTGTAACTGAGTACATGGCGGGCTACGCATGAGGGTTTTTTGAAGTTGTAAACGAACCAACAATAAACGTTAAATAAACCTTTCTTTGTATCTTTCTTTCGAAGATAATATGACAGTCACTACCGATTTTGTCAGGCCAAAAGAAGGGCCAGGTCCAAAAAAGTATTTGGTTGGCTGCTTTCTTGTCGTGACCTTTGATCAATCTTAAAGTTTCGTGATATTTTAGTACTAACCCCGAGTAATTTCGTGGTATGTTTAGGATGAGTAGTGCTTGTCTACTATCTGTATAGATAAGCATGTTCTTTCCAGTGATATTGTTTCTGCTATGTTAATCCCTGTGAGCTTTATTTGAATTAAAACTGGCACTATTGCTTTAGATTTAAAGATTTGGAGTTTATTCCACATCATGAGCCTTGTTTTAGAACCGTCGATATACCTAGATAGCAATAGCAATGATCTTGATGTAAATATCAAGGGAAGTAAGACTGAGTGCATACGAAATACGAAAGGTGGGAGATATGTCAATACCAGTTACTTTTCAATTTGAAATGTCCAAATCAAAATATGTTTGTCATTTTCACTAACCTATTCGCGTGTAAATTCTGTTACATAAATGCATTAGCGAAGCCCTATTTCAGTTTATTTAACTTATGGGTAATCCGCGTTCGCCGTCATTGTCATTGTGTGTATGTATAGTTGCCAGGTAATCAGGGTCACATCTATCTAAAATAAGTGGTCCAATTTATCTAATATCCTGACAACTGGCAACAGTGGCGACTGTAGTACACACACAATCAGTGCTGCCAATGACACGGCAATTGCCGCGTTTTTATAGCTTTTTATATTAATTCTATAATACTGCCATACTGCCGTGTTTTTAAATCATAAATATATGATTTATGCTAAGGAAATGAATGAAAATCACATTTGTCTCGGCAATAATTCGTAAAAAGTGTAAAAACAATTTTCGCTCATGCGCACAGCTATTAATTTCATTCGGTTGGCAGCACTGACAACTGACATACGCACTAAACAACATAACTTTAAATTTTCACCAAAAATAACAAGAAAAAACTATTATTACTCATTTTTATTTTACTCAGTAATGAGTCGAAGGTATTACTGTGACTATTGCGAAAAAAGCTTTATAGATGATCTTGATGCCAGAAAAAAGCACTTGCAAAGTTCTAATCATATAAAATTAAGGCATATGCATTATGAAGCTTGTAGAGGTAAATAGGGTATTCAAACTAAATCATTCCATAATTTACATTGAATATGTTTTCAGATCCTGAAACTACATTAAGAGAAGAATTGTTGAAAGTATCATGTAGAAGATTTTTTCAAGGCGGCTGTCCCTTTGAAGGTATTTGTCGATATACACATTATTCTCCAGAACAGTTGTGCGAACTTCGACAGCTAGGTGAGTAATAAGAGTAGCGAACTGATATCTTATTAAAAAATGCAGCTATAGTTTTTATTTAAACTTAGGGCTAGTCTTTTCACCACTAAGTAAAGTTGAAAGTAACTACTTTCTAATTAAACTATAGGGCTGTTTGTTAAATTGTCAAGTAAACCTACATGTAATTTTACTCGAAGGTTAAAAGATAGACCCTTAAATGAACAAATTAGCAGTCTAATTTAGTCAAATTGCTTATTTTATCCTACCATTTACATAATTGAAAAGTTTCTGTTGGTTGTTCTAGTTTCTTTGTCATTTATTAATACAAATATAAAGATTTACTTACCAGTACTAACTTTTATTTGAATTAAATAAATAGTTGTTTTAAAACTAATAAATAACTTAATGATTATTAAGGTATCTATAAGCATACTTTTTTGCAACAGAAATCATTGGTAAATGATTTAGTTTATGAATGTTTGCACTGGGAAGAACTACTTACAGGGAAAAAATGCATGAATCCTATCAACTTTGCTTTATTGTGTCTCAAAAATTTAGAAAATTAATTGGAGGTCTATAGTTTGATTTCTTTGTCAGTCTATCATGACTTGTTCTTTAATTTCCTTCAGTTTCATGGTTGAATTTTCATTTTTGAGGCCATGTTGCTGTGGAGTTTGTGGAGTGTTGATTTTTCATGTCAAAGAAGGTCTCTGTTTACTTGCATTTAGAGGCAAATCTGTTAGAAGTTATGACACATTTTTAATTGTAAAAACTATGAATGAACTTCTACAAACATATAGAAGGTACCGACCTTTTTTTAACTAAATTATTTAAAGCAGTAAATAATTATGACTAATCTGAAATTACAAAATCAAAAAATAATTATAAAATAATTTGGGATACAGTAAAAAAGGCATCTAACATGAAAGAAAATAACAAAAAAGAAAGTTACTATATAATAAATGAAAAGGGAGAAAAATTTATATGTTTTTAATAATTTTTTCGCAGAAATAGGTAATAAATGATAGAAAAAATTGACAGTACTTATAGAACTGTGTCTACTAAAGCTATAACTACTAATTCTATGTTTATGTACCCCATTAAAAAAAATCGAAATAAGGCATATATAACTATTAAAAAATACATTGGCAAGTGGCCTGGATCAATTATCAATAGTTATAATTAAAAATATACACCCTTACATCTTAAACTCTTTGGCACATATTTTTAACAAATATTAATGACTGGCAAAATACCAATATCAGTTAAAGAATCTTTAATAACACCTGTCTATAAATTAGGGCATTACAGGAATAATTATTTCTTTATGCAGATGATACTGTCATTTTCTTTAAGGGGAAGAGCTGGAAAGAAGTCTTTCTAATAGCTGAAGATGAAAATGTGGATTGATGACAGTTTACTGAGTGTCAATGTCTCCAAAACAAAATTTATTACATTTTAACTTACCAATTTTTGATTTTAAAGCTTCACAATCATAATTACAATAAAGGGCCTGTTTGTCAGTGTGTAACAATACAAAAACAAAAGAAAATAAAAATTTTAGGGTTAATGGTTGATCAACATCTGAGATGGAATGAACATGTTACTTTTTAGAGAAACATATAATATACTTATTTTATTAAAAAAAGATCTATTATTACTTATTTATAATGCCTTGGCCTGAGTCTCTGCTAATATGAAGTGGACTTGTAGATAACACTCTCAATGGGCTGGACTCAATACAGAATATGTTGTTAAAAATATTGTTCAACAAATCTTTTATATAATTAATTTGACATGTTGAATATTAAACAACTATATACCTACTAAACTGTTTTGAGGGCAATTTCTGACTCTCTTTTCGATGGTACTTGTCTCAATTTTCTATCTCTCTCCGTTTTTGTATACAGGGCGTTTTACTATATTTTAGCTAGTTTTGACGTCTCTCCCTTGAATTAAAACTTGGTGTCTTTCTAAATCTATTTTTAAAGTTCTTTTTAAGCGTTCTCACACCGTTTCCAAAGGAGCTGTACTAAATAAATATATGCCAGTTCCTCTTTTATAAAATACACATGCAAAACTTTCTCATATTTTGATCCCAAGACATATACAGGGTGGCTCACGCTCAACTGGACGGAGCTTTATGGGAAAACGACCAAAGATATAAAAAATTCGTTTGGGAGGAATACGTAGGTTACAGACGGCTACAATTTAAAATTTGTTAGATGTATATAGGACGTCCCACATAAGAATAAAAAAATTAGTTCATTAAAAATTATTCAAATAAGAGTAAACAATTAATTTCTGGGAGACTTTTTTTCCTTAAAAATTCAAATAAATCGAAAACTAATAATAATAGTAATAGGGAACCTTTAGTTAACTGACATTATTTTTGATGTAGTTTTTAATTCTAAAATAAAAAATCTGATGTGTCCAACACATGACTTTCCTATCTAGTTATTACAGGCTTTTTCCGTTTATTGTGTACAACCTATTGCAGCATCTCTATAAATGTTTAGAGGATAAACTAAATATATACATTGTCCACATACATCTACCGCGAAACATTTTTCTATAGATATTCATTGAAAATGAAAATACTGAAAAATTTAAATTTAGCACTTTTCCTACAATTTTTCCATTACGGTCCATTTTAAAAAAAATCATGTATAAACAAATATTATAGAGATCGATATCGCAAACAACTTTTATTTCAACAATTTTCATAAAAATCAGAATTTTGCACATTTTGTCAAATTTTTCGAATACGGACCATTTCAGGAAATTTTTACATAAAGCAAAAATTATAGATAATAATATTAGAAGTAACTTTTATTTGAACAATTTTTTTCTTCAAACATAAATAACAGATATATTCCATAAAATATAAAAACGGCCTCCCATAAAGTACCCCCCCAGATGTTCCGACTTTGTCCAAAATCTAATCATTTCACGTCAGGCCGAAATAAAACTTAAGTTTAAAATTTAATGTTTTTTTCTTTATCCATTTTTGAGTTTTCTTCAAATTTCGAAATTTACACATTTTCTCAAATATCTCGAATACGGTCCATTTTAGAGAAATTATCTATAAGACAAAAATTATAGAGAATTATATTACAAACAACTTTTGTTTGAACAATTTTTATAAAAAAAAATATTTTTTTACATTTTGTCAAATTTCTCGAATACGGACCATTTTAGGAAAATTTTGTAAATAACAAAAATTATAAATAATAAAATAAGAAGTAACTTTTATTTAAAAAGTTTTCTTCCCCAAACGTAAATAACAGATATATTCCATAAAATATAAAAATGACCACCTATAAAGTACCCCCCCAGATGTTCCGACTCTGCCCAAAATCTAATCAGCTCATTAGACTCTGGAATAAAGCTTAAGTTTGAAATTTGGTGTTTTTCCGTGTATCGGTTCATGAGTTATGCGTTATACAGACACACAGACATCATCGCGAAAATAGTCAGAACGGATTCAGGGGACCTCAAAACGTAAAAATCCGTCGAAAACTCGAGGTCGAAAAAAATCATAATTCCTATACTTTCCTTATATCTGTATACATATAGGAAAGTAAAAAAGAGAAAAAACAAAAGAATAAAAAAACAGTAATCTAGGTATTTAACATAACAGATTGGTTAAAAATCTGATGTGTCCAACACATGACTTTCCTATCTAGTTATTACAGGCTTTTTCCGTTTATTGTGTACAACCTATTGCAGCATCTCTATTAATGTTTAGAGGATAAACTAAATATATATACATTGTCCACATACATCTACCGCGAAACATTTTTCTATAGATATTCATTGAAAATGAAAATACTGAAAAATTTAAATTTAGCACTTTTCCTACAATTTTTCCATTACGGTCCATTTAAAAAAAATCATGTATGAACAAATATTATAGAGATCGATATCGCAAACAACTTTTATTTCAACAATTTTTATAAAAATCAGAATTTTGCACATTTTGTCAAATTTCTCGAATACGGACCATTTCAGGAAATTTTTACATAAGGCAAAAATTATAGATAATAATATTAGAAGTAACTTTTATTTGAACAATTTTCTTCTCCAAACATAAATAACAGATATATTCCATAAAATATATAAACGGCCTCCCATAAAGTACCCCCCCAGATGTTCCGACTTTGTCCAAAATCTAATCATTTTACGTCAGGCCGAAATAAAACTTAAGTTTAAAATTTATTGATTTTTTCTTTATCCGTTTTTGAGTTTTCTTCAAATTTCGAAATTTACACATTTTCTCAAATATCTCGAATACGGTCCATTTTAGAGAAATTATCTATGGGACAAAAATTATAGAGAATTATATTACAAACAACTTTTGTTTGAACAATTTTTATAAAAAAAAATATTTTTTTACATTTTGTCAAATTTCTCGAATACGGACCATTTTAGGAAAATTTTGTAAATGACAAAAATTATAGATAATAAAATAAGAAGTAACTTTTATTTAAAAAATTTTCTTCCTTAAACGTAAATACCAGATATATTCCATAAAATATAAAAATGACCACCCATAAAGTACCCCCCCAGATGTTCCGACTTTGTCCAAAATCTAATCATTTCACGTCAGGCCGAAATAAAACTTAAGTTTAAAATTTAATGTTTTTTTCTTTATCCATTTTTGAGTTTTCTTCAAATTTCGAAATTTACACATTTTCTCAAATATCTCGAATACGGTCCATTTTAGAGAAATTATCTATAGGATAAAAATTATAGAGAATTATATTACAAACAACTTTTGTTTGAACAATTTTTATAAAAAAAAATATTTTTTTACATTTTGTCAAATTTCGCGAATACGGACCATTTTAGGAAAATTTTGTATATAACAAAAATTATAGATAATAAAATAAGAAGTAACTTTCATTTGAAGAATTTTCTTCCCCAAATGTAAATAACAGATATATTCCATAAAATATAAAAATGACCACCTATAAAGTACCCCCCCAGATGTTCCGACTCTGCCCAAAATCTAATCAGCTCATTAGACGTTGGAACAAAGCTTAAGTTTGAAATTTGGTGTTTTTCCGTGTATCGGTTCATGAGTTATGCGTTATACAGACACACACAGACATCATCGCGAAAATAGTCAAAACGGATTCAGGGGACCTCAAAACGTAAAAATCCGTCGAAAACTCGAGGTCGAAAAAAATCATGATTCCTATACTTTCCTTATATCTGTATACAGATAGGAAAGTAATAATATAACTTTGTATATTTTCTCTTATGTGGGACATCCTGTATACATCTAACAAATTTTAAATTGTACCCGTCTGTAACCTGCGTTTTCCCATAAAGCTCCGTCCCGTTGAGCGTGAGCCACCCTGTATACTTAAAAATATTACAAATGAACATTTTTTAAAAAATGAACTCGCAACATTTGTAAAAAAGACTACAAAAAAATTAAAAGGGAAATATTTAATGTTTTATATTAATATTAATTTAATAAAATCAATATTTTCTTTTTATTCATCAGAAAGTTTGTATTTTTATAATTTTTGCTATTCTAAATTCTTTATTTTTGTTTCTATAGAATATAGATATAATTTAAGCAACATTTAAAACTTTTTAAAATAAAAAATTAATATTGAAGATTCTGCACACAAACTTTGTTAAATAATTTTATAAATTTGATTTGATTTGATGGTTAGTAAATAATAATTTTTATTTTAGTTGAAAATATTCAAGAGAACAGAAGACGCATGAAAGAGGCCCAACCTGAAATCCCTTCACCAGAAACATGGATTCAAAAGTATAATGAAGATAACAATAAACAAGACTCTAATGATGTGCACATATTTTGGACTTATCCTAAACATTTAGAAAATAGAATAGATTTACCACCATCTCTTATAGAATTTAAGCCTGAACATTTTTATGATGATAATTTCGAAGAATGGGGTAATTAATCTTATTTTTTCAATTAGATATATCTTAAATTAATGATTATTATTCATAATAAAATTGTTATAAATTTAATAATATTACAAGTAATTTTTATTTAAAAAATTTTCTTCTAAATATCCTATAAAATATAAAAATCCTTATAAAATACTCCCTAGATGTTCCGACACTGCCTAAAATCTAATCAGTTCATTTCGGGTCGGAAATAAGCTAAAGTTTAAAATTTGGTTTTGAGTTTTATTCAAAATTTACAGTTTTTCTCAAATATCTCAAATACGGTCCATTTTAGAGATATTCTCTATAAGGTAAAAAATATAGAGAATGACATCACAAACAAGTTTTATTTGAACAATTCTTAAAAAATATTGATTTTTTTACATTTTGTTAAATTTCTCGAATACGGACCATTTTAGGAAAATTTTGTATAGGACAAAAATTATAGAGAATAATATTACAAGTAACTTTTATTTAAAGAAATTTCTTCTCTAAACGTAAATAACAGATATATTTGATAAAATATAAAAATGTCCACCTATAAAGTACACCCCTAGATGTTCCGACACTGCCCAAAATCTAATCAGTTCATTGGAGGCCAGAATAAAGCTTAAGTTTAAAATTTGGTGTAATTCTCTTTGTCCGTTTCTGAGTTTTCTTCAAAATTCGAAATATACATTTTTTCTCAAATATCTCGAATACGGTCCATTTTAGAGATATTTTCTATAATGTAAAAAATATTGAGAATGACATCACAAACAAGTTTTATTTGAACAATTCTTAAAAAATATTGATTTTTTTACATTTTGTTAAATTTCTCGAATACGGACCATTTTAGGAAAATTTTGTATAGGACAAAAATTATAGAGAATAATATTACAAGTAACTTTTATTCAAAGAAATTTCTTCTCTAAACGTAAATAAAAGATATATTTGATAAAATATAAAAATGTCCACCTATAAAGTATCCCCCTAGATGTTCCGACACTTCCCAAAATCTAATCAGTTCATTGGAGGCCAGAATAAAGCTTAAGTTTAAAATTTGGTGTAATTCACTTTGTCCGTTTCTGAGTTTTCTTCAAAATTCGAAATATACATTTTTTCTCAAATATCTCGAATACGGTCCATTTTAGAGATATTCTCTATAAGGTAAAAAATATAGAGAATGACATCACAAACAAGTTTTATTTCAACAATTCTCAAAAAAAAATGATTTTTTTACATTTTGTTAAATTTCTCGAATACGGACCATTTTAGGAAAATTTTGTATAGGACAAAAATTATAGAGAATAATATTACAAGTAACTTTTATTTAAAGAAATTTCTTCTCTAAACGTAAATAACAGATATATTTGATGAAATATAAAAATGTCCACCTATAAAGTACCCCCCTAGATGTTCCGACACTGCCCAAAATCTAATCAGTTCATTGGAGGCCAGAATAAAGCTTAAGTTTAAAATTTGGTGTAATTCTCTTTGTCCGTTTTTGAATTTTCCTCAAAATTCGAAATTTACATTTTTTTCTCAAATATCTCAAATACGGTCCATTTTAGAGATATTTTTTATAAGGTAAAAAATATAGAGAATGATATCACAAACAAGTTTTATTTCAACAATTCTTAAAAAATATTGATTTTTTTACATTTTGTTAAATTTCTCGAATACGGTCCATTTTAGGAAAATTTTTTATAGGACAAAAATTATAGAGAATAATACTACAAGTAACTTTTATTTAAAGAAATTTCTTCTCTAGACGTAAATAACAGATATATTTGATAAAATATAAAAATGTCCACCTATAAAGTACCCCCCTAGATGTTCCGACACTGCCCAAAATCTAATCAGTTCATTGGAGGCCAGAATAAAGCTTAAGTTTAAAATTTGGTGTAATTATCTTTGTCCGTTTTTGAGTTTTCTTCAAAATTCGAAATTTAAATTTTTTCTCAAATATCTCAAATACGGTCCATTTTAGAGATATTTTCTATAAGGTAAAAAATATAGAGAATGACATCACAAACAAGTTTTATTTGAACAATTCTTAAAAAATATTGATTTTTTTACATTTTGTTAAATTTCTCGAATACGGACCATTTTAGGAAAATTTTGTATAGGACAAAAATTATAGAGAATAATACTACAAGTAACTTTTATTTAAAGAAATTTCTTCTCTAAACGTAAATAACAGATATATTTGATAAAATATAAAAATGTCCACCTATAAAGTACCCCCCTAGATGTTCCGACACTGCCCAAAATCTAATCAGTTCATTGGAGGCCAGAATAAAGCTTAAGTTTAAAATTTGGTGTAATTATCTTTGTCCGTTTTTGAGTTTTCCTCAAAATTCGAAATTTACATTTTTTCTCAAATATCTCAAATACGGTCCATTTTAGAGATATTCTCTATAAGGTAAAAAATATAGAGAATGACATCACAAACAAGTTTTATTTGAACAATTCTTAAAAAATATTGATTTTTTTACATTTTGTTAAATTTCTCGAATACGGACCATTTTAGGAAAATTTTGTATAGGACAAAAATTATAGAGAATAATACTACAAGTAACTTTTATTTAAAGAAATTTCTTCTCTAAACGTAAATAACAGATATATTTGATAAAATATAAAAATGTCCACCCATAAAGTACCCCCCTAGATGTTCCGACACTGTCCAAAATCTAATCAGTTCATTGGAGGCCAGAATAAAGCTTAAGTTTAAAATTTGGTGTAATTCTCTTTGTCCGTTCCTGAGTTTTCTTCAAAATTCGAAATATACATTTTTTCTCAAATACGGTCCATTTTAGAGATATTCTCTATAAGGTAAAAAATATAGAGAATGACATCACAAACAAGTTTTATTTCAACAATTCTCAAAAAAAAAATGATTTTTTTACATTTTGTTAAATTTCTCGAATACGGTCCATTTTAGGAAAATTTTGTATAGGACAAAAATTATAGAGAATAATATTACAAGTAACTTTTATTTAAAGAAATTTCTTTTCTAAACGTAAATAACATATATTTGATGAAATATAAAAATGTCCACCTATAAAGTACCCCCCTAGATGTTCCGACACTGTCCAAAATCTAATCAGTTCATTGGAGGCCAGAATAAAGCTTAAGTTTAAAATTTGGTGTAATTCTCTTTTTCCGTTTTTGAGTTTTCTTCAAAATTCGAAATTTACATTTTTTCTCAAATATCTCAAATACGGTCCATTTTAGAGATATTTTCTATAAGGTAAAAAATATAGAGAATGACATCACAAACAAGTTTTATTTCAACAATTCTTAAAAAAAATTGATTTTTTTACATTTTGTTAAATTTCTCGAATACGGACCATTTTAGGAAAATTTTGTATAGGACAAAAATTATAGAGAATAATATTACAAGTAACTTTTATTTAAAGAATTTTCTTCTCCAAACGCAAATAACAGATATATGCCATAAAATATAAAAATGACCCTTTATAAAGTACCTTAAGTTGGGGATATATGGAACAAACGTGCAAAAATTCAAATTGATCGCTTCGTCACGAAATCTGTCAAATATTTTTGGGGAATTTTCTTTTCTTGGGCAAGGATAAAAGATAAATATCCTTGCCAATATCGATCGGGTAGGAATTATTAGGAATGGTTCTCAAGGTTAGGCAACTTTATATACACACATGTGTATATCGGGTTGTCGTAGTAGTAGGGAACGAAACTCATTATTTTTAAATAATTTATTAGATACTTTCAAATTAAATTATCATTCCTACCATCCTTCTACAGGCCCACAGTATTTTTACAACTTTTTCTGTTGTTTTTTCTATATAGCTGCAGAAGCTATATAGTGATTCCAATATATTTAACCTCTTTTGCCATTTTTAGTTGTTGTCCTCAAATATAAAGCTCCTTTATTCTTTGGAGGTTCCTTTTTCTTGTGAATTAAACATCAGAGGTTTTTGTCGGGTTTGTGGAGAATTCTTTTTTTATGCACCATCTTTTGACGATATTTAGTGCCTGCTACATCTTTTCGGATACAACAGACCTAAATTAATCATTTACTACGATGCTTATGTCGTCTGCAAATAAATTTTCTTTCTATAACTCCCATAAGAGGTCGTCAATTACCAAGGTATACATAAGAGGAGATAACACTCCTCCCTGCGGGCATTTCTTGTTGACTGATACCTCTCTTGTTGTGTTAAGGAGATTACTGGTAATGGTTCTATGATTAAGCAAGAACTCAATTCACTTCGTAATGCAGTGGGCTACTCCACGCCTGTGCATATATCCCAGTATTGAATTGTATGAAGCCGAATCGAAGGCTCCTTCTATATCTAGGGAGACTTCTAGTATTATTCCTATGCTTTCCAATGTTTGTTTAGCCTGTTGAGCTAGCCTATGTATGGCCAGATTGGTAGGCAAACTGGTATCGATGTATCAGTTTATCCTGTAGAACATCGTCCTGTATATATCTATCGATCAATTTCTTCAATGTTTTTAGGAGGAATGATGTTGGTCTGATTGGTCTGAAAGATTTTGTCTTCTCGTAAGACGCTTTCCCGGGTTTGAGAATGAAGGCCACTCTTTCATACCTCCAGCTTTGTGGAACATAGAGGCCTTAGAAATTAGTGTCTCGATACTCTTGGTCAAAAATAATCTCACATCTAGGAAAGTGTAACTTTAGTAGTAAATCTAAAGTATCCTCTGTTTTTGTGAGTTCTCTTTGTTAATTTTTCAGAGATCCCATGCATCTTTGCTTATCTTTCTGTACAGTTTTCCTGGAAGGTTTTTATTGCTGTCACAGAATTTCTTCCAGGAATTGTTTTTAGCTTTCCTAATGGCATAGTTATATTATTTCCAGTAAGCCTTATAGGCTTCCCATTTCTTCAACCTTTTGGACAGGTTAAAAACCTTACGAACTTCTGCTGTTTTTTTGAAAAGGTCTCGATTCCACCATACAGCGTTTTGATCCTTTTTCCTAATTTTTAAAAAGCAGTTTTTTTCGAACGTGTTGGTTAGGGTTCCT